CCAACATCAATACACTATTATTAATTAACATCTATAGCTTACATTAGGATTCAACCTTTAAATGTACTATGACGTGTCCACCATCACTGTATCATATTTGTTACCTGTATTAATCTTTTTGAAGAACTGTGGCTTCATTGAGCTTTTCTAATTCATTAATTTATGGCTTATTATTTCCTTTCATCTACTCACTTTAGAGTTATTGTACTTTTTCTCACTTCTCAACTGGGAAAAATAAAAGCACTTTATTATTTCATTCAACCCAGTTTTTTTAGCCTTCTATAGGCAGTATCTTCGGCCAGTTCCCCACCCAACGTGCCTCAAATGCCCAAGTCTTCCTTCAGTCTCTTAGGTCTACTTTTTTAATTCAATTTTGCTTCTTTACCTCCTCTTCTCTATATTACCAGTCACCTGATAAATTCTACTGACTATATCGTAAATTCACTGAAGGGAGGAACATCTCTATCTTTCTACTGCAAATAAATTATTCCAATTTCTTTCAGTTCACAGTTAAAAACAAAGGTCTCTATCATTTCATTTCCTAAAACATGATCTTCCTTCGTCATGACCCTCAAGCTTCAGAAGGCGTCCTTTGGTACTTAGGTTAGCCTTCAACGTCTTTGTAATCTGATACATTTTTTCTACCTGCACCATTTTCCTTATAAGTATAGGCAAACGTTCCACTCAAATCAAGCACAACCCACAAATTAGCCTTCATGCATTTTATCCACATTATTTCCCACCGTGAAGCATCTCTTCCACCTGTGAAATTTTCCACAATCATGCGAGGTTATCAAATGATTGGTTGCAAAAACTCATTCTTGCACTTATAAAATATTAATATAAAGTAACATAAAGCAATATAGAAATAACTTTTTCTCAACGATCTCTTTTATCTTGCTAAATGGACTGGCAGCTTCTTAGATGCATGAACTATGCTTCATACTTTTTCGATCTTTGAGAACACAACGAAGGACTCATCACATTGTAGATTTGCTAATACTAACTGAAATGCAAGTATATATCAAATATAACGTACCTTGCCTGCCAGGCGGCTGGAGATAATGCCATTGCTAGATATAAGACAGTCAGCCAGAGTAGTTTTTCCTGTTAAAGTAACAATATTAATTTAAATCGGTTTCTTTTTTTTAAAGGGTGAGGTAGGTAGATTGTATCGACAAATTTAACATCTAACCATAGAACTGGTTTAGCAAATATTTCCTATTTACCTATACTAAGTGAAGCAAGATACAACAGGCATTTTAATTAGAACTTTGAACAAAACGTCATCTGGAAGGACACAGATTCCAGCACTCCACAGTGCTGTAATCTGTATTGCCAACCCTGCGGATCAACCTCACTTTAAAATCCGTCAAGCAACATTTTTTTTTAAGGACAGAAAAAATTTTTTAATTCAGGCATAATTTACACAGAGCAAAATGCACAGACTCTTAAGTGATAAGAAAAACCACTGTGCCAATCAAAATATAAAACGTCTGACAAACAACTTTTACAGTTACTCAAATCTGTCCGACAAAGAATTTGATCAAGTTTATTGTAATTATTACATCAGTCATCAGATATCCATAACTGTGTCCAGGCCTATAAACTTAAACTTTTTTGGGCGGTACATGGGCCTCTCACTTTTGTGGCCTCTCCCGCTGCAGAGCACAGGCTCCGGACGCGCACGAGCCCAGCTGCTCCACGGCATGTGGGATCTTCCCATACTGGGGCACGAACCCGTGTCGCCTGTATCGGCAGGCGGAGTCTCAACCACTGCGCCGCCACGGAAGCCCTAAACTTAAACTCTTGATAGCTCAGCGTGACAAAAGGATAGCACTTTTGGATAGCAATCATTTTTTCCTCTGGATGATATACTGGGTAAAACATCACCAAAAAACAATGGAACATTATCTTTTGCCATATTTCCCCATGTATGGCCTCAGTTGGCTTTGGCCAGTTAAACTGTCTGAAGAAAATACCCATTTGGCAAAGAAATTCATGAAATTTATCCATATCTCCTACTGTTTGCAAGCCAATGGAGAGCATCAGCTACACTGCAGTGACCAATGCTACCTAGTATCCAAACATAAACCCAGGAATCTACTCTAATAATAAAAGAAATTCTTATGATACTCAAGTACCCATTTGGACCTTTAATACTGTATTACGTGCTTGTCATGTAAATATTATGTATTAGCATATAACCCTAGAGCGTCACTTTCCTGCTTCCAATGGAGTAGAACATTCTAAGTACGGAGAGCATATATCCCCCCAAATGCAAGTGTCAAGAAAGCAGGGACTTTGCTTTATTCACAACTGTATCCCTAGGACCAGAACAAGGCTTGGCATATAAGAAACATTCAATGAATTATCTGTTGAATGAATAAATGAATCACAGGTTTTCTAGGATAGTATTATCTTAATATACTTTTAAATGGTAAATTTTAAAGTAATTTGCTGTACACACACATGCCACTGACTTGCCGCATGATTTAATTCACAAAGCAAAAAAAATACTTTTGTCAAACATCATGTCCTCAAAACGTGAGCAGCATAATTACAGAAACTCATGGGGTAGGGTTAGCCACCAGATTTGTATACAAAACTCATTCTCAGTTGCCTTCACCTACAAAGTGATCCATCACCTCTTCCTTTAGTTCCCGTAACTACTTCAACTATTTTACCAATGGCAATAGCCACCTAACCTCTTTTCTGCCCTTCAATCCATCCAAAACACTCTCACCAGACCATTCTTACTAAAGTACTATTTGATTACAACATCCCTGCTTTATTCTGTTCTCCCAATGTGTCCCTATTACCTAATAATAAATGCCAATGATCATCTTCATGATAAAGCACGTACCTGCCAAGGGCTTCTCCTTATCATCATTTAATCCTCACAATGCTATAAGGTAGGTTTGGTTTTTATTCCAGTACACAGAGGCTGTATACTGAAGCTCAAAAAGGCAAAGTAACTTGAAATGGAGTTTTGAACTCAGGTTGTCTAACTCCAGAGCTGGAGCACTTAACCCATATCCTTGTGCCTAGCTGGCATGAAGGGCTCTTTAAGATACAGCCCAGCCTACCTCTTCACTTTTCTCACTTACTCCCTCACCTTCAGGATGGTATATAGGTTTTATTTCACACTCCCAATCCTATCACTTTGCTGTGGCTACGTGAACTAAGAAGGAGTCTGAAACCAAGCGCGGGCTTAGCAGGAGGCAATGCTCTGGTATGAAAGCAATGTCTGTGAGAAGCTAAGCACCATGCATCCCTGTCCCCCTCTCATGTCCCGTGCTTTGGTCACATACATTTCATTCTCCCCTTGCTGACATTATTCCCACTTGAAATGTGTGCCCCCATCTGCCATCTTGAATCATTCTTCCAGGGGGTCATCTCTAACACTGTTATAAAGCCCTTTTCTTAACCCATTACTAGCTTCCCGACCCTCCAGCTCTCTCAAACCTTAGAGTTTACTTTTCGCCTGCCTCATGTTGTGCTGCCTCAACCCCCAAATCACCTCTCTATATAGCTGGGCTGGTGCCCTGTGCATAAATCCTTGCCTTCTGACATAGCTAGCAAAATACCTCGAACTTAGCAGATGTTCAAAAAACATCGGACGAGTTAAACAGAATCACATAACACAGGCTCTGAGGACATTATGTCAAGGCTACAGACGTGTTATATTACAAAGCCATTTCAAAATACTTGACAAATACTAAAAAACTCAACTTCTCGTTTAAAAGACAACAAAATATACTACATAGAAGAATAACAATCACTAGTTAGCTGTGTTCCTCCCACAGCAAAGTTTTAAAGGAAATAAGACTTGCAACTTAGCAAGCATCACTCTCAACTGCCCACAGCATCACTCCACTGACACGTGCGGAGACACACCCCCTTAATTACTGAAAATAAGCCATTTAGAAAGGATTCTTACCATGGTCAACATGAGCCAAAACACAGATATTCCTGATGTTAGCCGTGTTTTTCTGGAGTTGAATCATCTTATCCAAACTGTTCAGCACCATGGTCACTTATTTCCTGTGACTAACAGTTAAACATGTATTACAAATGGCTGAACATCGGGGCGTTAAAAGATAAAAGTTTCTACTGCTGGGAGCTGACAAGACTTCTCGAATCCCTTAAAGTAATAACCCAACGGATGCTTACTGAAGGGACAGACCCACCCAGGCCCAAGTCCAATTTGAGCACTTCAACAAATACTGTACCACGACTGTACTTGCGGAGTTTACTCATCCTTCCAGATCGACCCTTTGCGATGAATCACAAAGCTCGTGGGGGTTGGGTGCACAGTGACACCTGGAACTCTGCCCCGTACTGTGTACTCGGGCATTATTTCTCCAGGTCAGTGATTACATACTGGAAGGGTCTTATGCAGGAGGGAGAGAAGATGCCGACATCTCTCTCTTCCCCTGCTCGATCTTTTTCCAAGCCTCTCCTATCACTCCCACTTGCTTTCACTGGAGGTAAAACACCCAGCTTCCCGACTACATTTTGGGGTCACGTGCAGGTGCACTGAACGTCTTCCATTCCTTTCCACACTGGGGAAACCAAGAAAAAACAAACCCTCAACTCTACATTCCCTTTATCCTCACTCCCTTTTTCTTTGAGGATCCCGGGTCCGCACTGAGAAACGGCCGGGCCGGCCCGGACACTACGCTCGCACGGCAGCCGCTCTCAACCCGGGCTGGCTCCTAGCTCCGTCCACGCCCTGCCGCCGCGGCGACCCGGGACCCCCACTGCCTGGAGTTGGCGGAAGAGGACGCCCGGACGCCTGCGGGCCCGCACTTACCGGCTGCCGCCGCCCAGCCGGCCCAGTTCGATTCACAGCGCCCACCACACCACGCGTATCAAATGCCCCCTGACCTCCGCGTCCACCTTACGCCCGCGCGCCGGGGGCGGGGCTGAGAACGCACGACCTTTAACCCGCCTGCGTCTCTGGCGCCGCCGGAAGCAGGCGGAGCATCCGTTAGCCGCGCCCCGCCGGTTACCTGGACTGAGCCCGGCGAGGTGGAGTTGTAGAAGCTGCGGCTGCGGAGAAGCTGTGGAGCTGGTCCCGCGAGCCGGGAGCATGAGGACCTGGTGTCTGTGTCAGATTTGTACCTGCGGGTAAGAAACGGCCGGTGTGGCGGCCGCCGGGGCTTGGAAGCGAGCTGGGGTCTCGGGGAACGGAGCCCTCAGAGTGGCCGCCCCGCCAAGGTGGAGGACGCGGGCCCAGCGACGTCCCACTTATCCCCGAGTCCGCAGATGCTCGCTGTTCACCCGCCAGCTACCGCGGGTTAAGCAGTTCTGCTTTGTCGGCTCCTATCCACGGGCGCAAACTGAAATGCTATGGCGCCAGGGGGATGATATACGCCTGTGTAGCAGCGGCTGGATGTCAGGCTGCCAAGTGTGGAGACCTGATCCGACGGGGAGAGTGTATGCCCACAAAATTTTTTTTTTAAATTTATTTATTTTGGCTGTGTTGGGTCTTCGTTACTGTGCGAGGGCTTTCTCTATTTGCGGCAAGCGGGGGCCACTCTTCATCGCGGTGCGCGGGCCTCTCGCTATCGCGGCCTCTGTTGTTGCTGAGCACGGGCTCCAGACGCGCAGGCTCAGTAGTTGTGCCTCACGGGCCTAGTTGCTCCGCGGCATGTGGGATCTTCCCAGACCACGGCTCGAACCCGTGCCCCCTGCATTGGCAGGCAGATTCTCAACCACTGCGCCACCAGGGAAGCCCCTATGCCCACAAAATTTAAAATAAATAAATAAAAGGAAACGGAAGGAGAGTAGAACGGTGTGCAAGTCTATGAGTTTTCGACCTGTGTTAGGCTTTCTTCTGTTCCTAGCTTTCCATTCCCGCCTAACCATATTCCCGTTCCCAGTCCCATCCAGACTGCTTTCCTTTGGGATCTGACGGACTGGAAAGGTAGTAGGTAGTCTCCTGAAACCCAGAATTGGTCAGTGAGTCCTGCCTAAGCTGTAAGCAGTCATCTCCTTCCTCAGCTTCCTTGCTGACCCAGGGATTAGACGACTATTTGCTAAATAAATATTATGAATATGTCAATCCTGTCGTACTGTAATCCCCTCCAAAGGAAAAACACTTCACATGGTGATGGAAAGCAGTTTCCCCGTAGTTTCATGGTAAATGTTTTTAATTACTAATCGGATGTAGATTAGAAGATAAGTCAGCCTTTGAGGATTTGATTCATATCTGAAAACCCTGACGGGCAAAAAAATTGATTAATTTTTTTTCTAATCTTTAAATTAATTTCTATCCAACCTAAGTTCCTTTCCCATCCAGCTGTCAGGAAATTTCAGTCTTCATTATGTTGGAGGCTTCCTTTTTCCCAAGCAGTAAAATGGTCCAGGGAGCAGAGGCATTGCCAATGCAAGAGGAGTCTTCTCTGGGCTTTAAACATTGGTAATGCTTCCCACTGAAATGTCTCTTGCTGGAGTTCACATAATCCCTTCAAGAGTGGTGCCACCGCTGCTTTGAAGTTTATGTTTGAGGTTCAAGAATCTTGGCAAAGCTGGGAGCCATTGTTGTAGGGTTCCACCTAGCCAACTCTTGATATCCGGCCACCTCCTGGATCACTGATAGAATGGGGCAAAGATGCTCGCTCTTCTATGAACTCCTTCCCCCTCATCTTCTACCTCCTTCCTCTCTCTGGGGAATCGTCCCCTCTTCCCTCTTTTGCAGTCCAGGACCATCTGTTTCCTCTTAGGACCTCATTTCCAGCAGGACATCTGATTTCATCTCTTCATGAATTGTGTTTAAAAAGACAGGAGAACATGTTGACTTCAGGCAGCTTATATCCTCGGCCCTTCCAAAAGTCCTGCAAGGAGGAAATGTCAGGGTCCTGACTACCTGCTTGAAATAAAGGAGGGGGAAAAAACAAGGAGAACAAACTCATTAATATTTCAATACATTGCCTCTCTTTAGGAGGATCAAGATTGTCAAAGAGACCACTTCAGGGAAATTTTGACCTGCATCTGCTACTTTTTCATCTTGCTGTTTGAATCTTTTTTTTTTTTCATACTATGTAACTAAATCTTTTCAAATGTCTATTTCTTTCACTATATCAGTCAAAACAACCATCTATCTCAGAACATCGTTTTCTCTGCAATGTGTATATACAATTGCTCATGTGAGTTAAACTATGATAAGTTATTTATGTTTGCATAGGCGACATCATTGCCCACATGGAACCACAAGGATTTATGAAAATTCTGACTTGTCCCACAGCTGAATATTTGGAAAACTATCCTATGTATGGCAGTGTTCTTCCACCTCAGAGTCTGAAGCCCAAGGAAGAATTTCCAGCATATCGTTGTAAAATGGAAGGAATAACAACATTTAAGTAAGTATCAAGAAACTGTTTGCTTTACCTATTTTTCTCCCCACTCTTCTGGGTTTTTTTGTTTTTTGAATTTTATTTTATATTTTTTATACAGAAGGTTCTTATTAGTTATCCATTTTATACATATGAGTGTGTATATGTCAATCCCAGTCCCACTCTTCTGGTTTTAATAAGGTGTTTTTGTTTTAAACTCTTTAAACTATTTAGTTGATTTAAGTTGAACCAGTTGACTAGTTGAGTCACAACTTGAGGAAAACAGAAAGATGAGAATTAAGTTAAATGAGAAAAATGAGAAGGAAAGGGGATATATAAAAAGTTCTATTGATTGTTTTTGTTAACCTCCTAAAATCTCTTGAGTTTATCTGTTTTCCATTGTGACCAGAACCTAGAGGAATGCAGCAGCTTCCTAATGGTTATGTTTGTATCTACTCTAGCTTTTGCATCTCTGATCTGTTTTCTAACTTTAGCCAAGATGACCTTTTTATGTACTGTTTATTTTTTATTTTATTTTTTTATTGAAGTATAGTTGATTTGCAATGCTGTGCCAATCTCCGCTGTACAGCAAAGTGACTCTGTTATACACATACAGACATTCTTTTTTTATATTCTTTTCCATTATGGTTTATTGACAGGATATTGACTATAGTTCCTCATGCTATACAGTAGGACTTTGTTGTTTATCCATACTATATATAATAGTTTACATCTGTTGGGACTTATTGACAGGATATTGACTATAGTTCCTCATGCTATACAGTAGGACTTTGTTGTTTATCCATACTATATATAATAGTTTACATCTGTTGGGACTTCTCTGGTGGTCCAGTGGGTGGGACTCTGTGCTCCCAAGGCAGGGGAGCATTCCTTGTCGGAGAACTAGATCCTGGGGAACTGGATCCCACGTGGATGCCACAGCTCAGTGTTCACATGCCGCAGCTGGGAAGCCTGCATGCCACAACTGGAGATCCCGCATGCTGCAGCTAAGACCTGGTGCAGCCAAAATAAATTAAAAAAAAAAAAAAGAAAAAGAAAAAAAAGTTAACATCTGCTGATCCCAAACTCCCAGTCCATCCCTCCCCATCCCCCACCCCCCTTGGCAACCACAAGTCTGTTCTCTATGTCTGTCAATCTGTTTCTGTTCTGTAGATAGGTTCATTTGTGCCATATTTTAGATTCCACATATAAGTGATACCACTAGTATTTGTCTTTCTCTTTCTGAGTTATTTCACCTAGTATGATAATCTCTAGTTGCATCCATATTGCTGCAAATGGCATTATTTTGATCTTTTTTATGGCTGAGTAGTATTCCATTGTATATATGTACCACATCTTCTTTATCCATTCATCTGTCGATGGACATTTAGGTTGGTTCCATGTTTTGGCTATTGTGAATAGTGCTGCTGTGAACATAGGGGTGCATGTATCTTTCTGAATTAGAGTTTTGTCTGGATATATGCCCAGGAGTGGGATTGCTGGATCATATGGTAATTCAATTTTTAGTTTTCTGAGGAACTACCACACTGTTTTCCATAGTGGCTGCACCAGCTTACATTCCCACCAACAGTGCAGGAGGCTTCCCTTTTCTGCACACCCTCTCCAGCATTTTTTATTCATAGACTTCTTAATTGTGGCCATTCTGACTGGTGTGAGGTGGTACCTCATTGTAGTTTTGATTTGCATTTCTCTAAATACTTAGCGATGTTGAATAAGATGACCTTTTTAAAATGCAGATCTAATCGTGTCACCTCCCTGCTAAAACTGCTGTTATATTTTCCCATTATATTTAATGTATACCAAAATCCCTTCATTGTTTGCTCCCTGCTTTCTTCTCTGATTTATTTTCACTGTAATGCCCTTTGCACTCTTACGGTTACATCTCATAGGACATGTTTCATTTCTTGGAAGTACCAGGCTTCTCTTGTCACAGAGCCTTCCAAGATACTATGTTACCTGCGTGGAATTTTTCCTGCCTCTTTACCCTAATTAATGCCTATTCAACCTATACCTCTTAACTCAGTTATCACTCTGAAAAGCCTTCACTGACACTCATCCAGTTTCCAGGCTAGGTAAAAGTCCCCTATGTAAGTTCTCAAAGCATCTGCCTATTATTTATCATTAGATTAGTTTCAGTGTTCCATGAAAGCAGGAACTATGTCTGTTCTTATCTCAGCATTCTATTTCCAGAAACCTGTTACAATGCCTACTAGCTCATAGTAGGCACTCACTATTTACTCAGTGTGTGAAAGACAAAAAAGTCCATTTAAGCCTAAACTTTTCATTTGGACTCAGCTTTTTTGATCTTTGTCAGTTCAATGGGTTCTTTTCTCTATTTTCTCAATGTGTACACTGTATTCAAGGTACAGTCTTAGGCATTAAGTATAAAATTATCAATAAAGAGAGGTTCTTGCTTTCCAGGAACTCATACATCAGCCTTCTATAATTTAGGGTTTTTGAAATGCTCTGTAACAACTTTAATTTTTAGTGCTATCCATTTTCTTTTCATTTCAGATAGAGTTTATTTTACTTATCTAGCAAAGGTGGAGACCTTCAAACTTTTACTGCAGTACTTATACCTTTAACATTTCAGACAACCCTTGCAGTGCTTTGGTGATTCCAGTTACTTCCCTCATACTTTGGTGTGATTTGGAATCATCTAGAAAGGTTAAAATTGCAGATTCCAGAGCTCCACCTAAAATAGTCAGTAGACAATGAAGTGGATCCCAGGAGTATGCTTTTTTTTTTTTTTTTTTTTTTTTGCGGTACGCATGCTTCTCACTGTTGTGGCCTCTCCTGTTGCGGAGCACAGGCTCTGGACGTGCAGGCTCAGTGGCCATGGCTCACGGGCCCAGCCGCTCCGCGGCATGTGGGATCTTCCCGGACCGGGGCACGAACCCATGTCCCCTGCATTGGCAGGCGGACTCAACCACTGCGCCACCAGGGAAGCCCAGGAATATGCATTTTTAACCTGCATTGCTGGTGATTCTGTTGCTACAGACACAATGCAATGGGCAGGTATTGGACTGTTCACTGGGAATGACAGGGAACAGAAAGAAGGGCTTTCCCACCATGTTTATAGTCTTGTGGGAATGATAGTCCCAAAACAAAAATCAGGTAAACAAGATAACTACACATTATAGTAAATGAGATGAAGGAATTGAGCAATTGGTTGAGACAGAGCAAATGGGAATGGTTGCTCTTTTCTCTTCACCTTTATTCCTTTTTTTTTTTTTTTTTTGCGGTACGCGGGCCTCTCACTGTTGTGGCCTCTCCCGTTGCGGAGCACAGGCTCCAGATGCGCAGACTCAGCGGCCATGGCTCACGAACCTATCTGCTCCATGGCATGTGGGATCTTCGCGGACCGGGGCACGAACCCGTGTCCCCTGCATCGGCAGGCAGACTCTCAACCACTGCACCACCAGGGAAGCTCCTATTCCTTTCTTTCTTGATGCCTTAATGATTCATAACGGAAATTTGAAATAAATTTCACACTATTCATATTTATTGAATAAAGATTTTGCATTTAACCAACTCGAAGTGTTAAAACCAGGAAAGTTTAACCTGCCACATCTTTCTTTAAAAGGCAATTGCTTTTCAATTCTGGGCTTTCTCAGTTGCCTTGTTCAAGTAGCCTGTAATAGTAAACAAATAAAATAAAATAAAAAAAGAAATGTCCCAACTCCCAAAAGGTTCAAATATGCCAACAAAAGTAAAACTTCCATTTCTTAAATCATCATCTTTCCACTTACTAAAACATTAGACCTTTTCTTCATAGTTTGACTAGGGAACTAGCAGTATTTCCAAGAGCCATATCTGAGGGGTTTGGAACTCTTGCTTGACTCCCTCATGGTGACCATGTTGACTAGGCAGTAGAAAGCAGCTGATTCATCTGTACAAACAAAGAATCATGTGTCATTCTGTTCTATACTTTTCTATAATATAGGAAGAGACTGTGTAAAGAGCAGATGTCTGGACTTGTACCGGACTTTTGATCCTTTATAGCATTACAGCTGTAGCACAGTAGATGATTGCCAGAGTTGGCAGGAAGTCTGCCCTGAAAGTATGATTCCAGACATGTCAAATGTTTTAGGATATATCAGATGAATAAGAGTGCATTTACCCTTTACTACTTCTCCATAGAAAGTTGCTTTGGGTTTGGAGGTAAACTTTCTAACTCTTAACTAATCTTACTAGAGAAACTAAGACTTCTAAGCTTTCTCTGTCCTCTCTACTTCCTGATTGCATTTTAGCCTATTCCTCTCTAGCTGGTATTTGGGAAGAGCAAAGAACAACTCAGATGTCTTGAGAAGCAGAGGTATGGGATTTCTACTATTATTTATCCACTAAATATTTCATAAGCATTCGTTAAGTGTCAGGTGCTATGCTAGGCACCTGGGATACAGTGGTGAGCAAAACAGTCATGATCTCTGTGCTCACAGATGTTGCAGTCTCGTGAAGGTGGCAGTCAAAAACATCACTCAAAATAAGTATAAAATTGCAACAGTGATCAAATCTATGAAGGATAGGCGCAAGGTAACTTCGGATCCAGAATAAGAAGCTTGACTTTATCAGGGAAATGAGAAAAATGAGCTAAAATCTGAAGGCTGTAAAGCAATTAACTGGATTAAGACTGTAAGAAAGTGCCTTCCAAGGAGAGAGCAGCATGTAGCAGGAAGGAGCATGGAAAGAAGGAAATTGTCAGAGAAGGCCAGCAGGAGCAGAGGAAGCAAGAGGAAGCACGGTGTGATTTGAAGCTAGTGAAAGAGGCCATGTTCAGTTTTTTCTGTATCCTTAGAGCAATAAGAAGCTATTGAAGGTTTCTTTTCTTTCTTGTTTTTTGTTTGTATGTTTGTTTGTTGAGGGGGGTACGAAAGAGAGTTGAGAAAGAGGCTAGGGAGATGAGGACAAGAATGACCTGATCAAATTTTGTGTGAAAGGATTACTTTGGGTGCAATGTAAGAAAAGATTGGAGAGAGAACTAGTAAGTGAGTTTAGGAAGGTATTGAATTGATTTGAATGAGCTATTATGAAAGCTTGGAATGGTGATGAGAGAGAGAAAAGCGGATTTAAGAGATATTTAAGAGGGAAAATTGACAGGAGTTGATGATGAACAAAATATAGGAGGGAGGTGAGGCATGAAGGGTTAGTCCTAGGTTTCTGAGTACAGCTGAAGAGATGGTGATGCCAGTCAGTAAAATAGGGAACAAGCCAATAGGCCCAGATTTGTTGGGGGAAAATAGTTTGATTAGGGGTATACTAAGTTTTGAGGTACCATTGAATATCCAACAGGCCACTGTAAAAACTGGTACGGAGCTAAGAGAGGAGGTCTGAGTGGAGATGTACGTGTGAGAGGTGTTTCCATATAGTTAGTAATTGCAGCTGTGGGAGTAGAGGCGTTGTCCTCAGGAGGGAACGTTGGGTGAGAAGAGGAGAGTGGGTAGCCCCAGTGTCGAGGAACTGCCCAACTTCATGACTGACTATAGGAGGGCGAAGCTGCGTAGGAGACCAAGAAGAAATAATGAGGAAGGCAGGGAGAGAGAATTTCTCAGAAATAGAGGGAGTGGGCAATAATGTCAATTAGGACTTGAGAGGTTAAGTAAGATGAGGACTAAAAAGATCTGGTGGATTTAATCACATAGAAGTCATGGTGCACCTTCAAGCTGTGTTAGAGAAGTGACAGTGCTGGAAACCAGGTTGAAGTGGGTTGATGGGGGTGAGGAAATGGAGTTAACAAGTCTAAGAGGTTATATCGTGACTAGAGAAGGGATTCAGTGAGTTTTGGTTTTTGGAGCTTATGGACATATACAGAAAATATTGATTAATACAAGTTGGTTTAAATAAATGATACAATGAGTGAAACAGTCCATAGTGTCCCAAAGCAAAAAAGCAATTTTGAAGACTTTTAGTAATTTGTAGAGCTAACATACCATCCTTACTGTGCACTAAACACTCATGTGTATGCTGCACATGCATGCATGTGTCAGTCCTTCAAACAACCCTATGAGGTAGATGGTATTATTGTCCTATTTTATATCTAAGGAAACTGGAGCATAGACAGGGTAAGTTACCCCACATCATAAATCTGGTGAATGACAGAGCCAGGATTTGGACCCAGGTAGTCTGATCAGTCTGAGTCTGTGGTCTCACCACCCCACCAGACAACCTCAGTGTCTGCAGTACTACCTCTGCCACATAATGTTATATAATGCCCAGGGTGGCTAGGGTACCATATGACTCCTATCCCTGGCAAGGGCTTCTGGGGATCTGAAGATGGATAAGACCCACATCAACACTATGAACATGATTTATGTCTAAAGGCCAGAGTTTATACATAAATTATTTCTTTAATTGATTACTTAATGATGAGCAGAAAGACAACATGACTTCAAGAAGAGAGCATGCCCAAATAGTTTATTAGAGTCTTTAATAGGATGAATAAGGATTTTGACAAAATGGACCCAGGCGATATAGTTAAAATTGTTTTCAGATTCATTAAATCTTTAACCTAAGATTTCCTTCCAGGTTAGGAAAAAATTCAATTATTTGAAGATTTTATTTATGTAAGATCCAATTAACTGAGGATCCATTGTAAAGCTGTTTTGAAAACTAGGATTTTTGACATTTATTTTTCTTATATGTAGTCACTGGATAGGACATAAAGGAATTCAGTAATCTCTTTCAGGTAGCTTATCAACCATCACCATTTTAATATCTTCTTAGACTTTTCAAGTAAAAAAAAGTCTGGAAAATTTTAATACTGCATTGAAATACTTAGAAATAAAAGAACCTGTGAAGCTATGTTTCAAATTTATATATTTCAGGTCGGATTCTCATCCTTATGAAATAGTCAAACAGCCTCGCCATGCACCAGAAGAATATAAACCAAAGCAGGGGGAGATTGATCTTGGTACTACCTACAAATGGCATCTTAATTCTTGTAGAGTGCAGCGTGTGGCAATAGCTCGGCCTTTGGAGAGACAAGTTAAAAAAGGGAAGTTGGATACTGTCCCAGCCTATAAAGGTAACTTGCCATTTCAAAAATTAAAGAGCCATAAAGCAAAAACTTACTTCCAGCTTTGAGATCTAACATCAAATCATGATTTTGGTGCATTGCCAAACTTAAGTCTCCATGGCTTAGGAAAAACTTTTTTCTCTGTTGTCTAAATAGTATTGTATAGTGAGAAAAAAACAGACTATTTGCTTGATGGAGAGTTAAGAGACCTGGATTCCTGTCCAAATTCAGCCACTTAATTAGTTTTCTCTATCTCAAACCATGAAAACAAAGGATACCACTGAACAAGCATTATGTCGTATTTGTCACATTATGCTACTTGTAGTCGGCACTGTTCCTTTCCTTCCCTCCCAGAATGAGTTGAAACTTTACTGAGCATACTAGAGCCTTTGAGAAAGTCAAATAAAGAGCAACCCTCTTCTCCATTCAAGTTCTGAACCAACCGATAAAGCAAAAGAGTTAGCGGGTAGAGAACCAAAATACTCCCTTTATACTGATAAAGGCTGGAATAGAGGATGAAGCTTGCATCTGTTAGCAGATGGTCCCTGATACTGAACCTCAGAATACAATAGGCTTGTCCACCCAGTGAGACAGTGTTGGAGCACCACATAGGCAACCTGCTCCTCCGAGACTTCCAGCATGGAATACCTTCTGCCTCCTGGCAACTGACTTGGAAGAGTAAGGACTGTACAACGTACGACCAGTTTCTTTCCAAAAATCAATCTGATTATATAATAGTCTGTTGCTTTTTGGCAGGGAGTAGGGTCCTTTATTTTTAAACAATAGGCTATCTTGTTCATATTTTTTCTGTATTTTTTTTGTTAATAATGTAATTGCATATTTAGGCTTAAAGCCTTTTCACTAGTTATGTGAAATAACTGAATGGGTATGTCCTAATATAAAGCCCTTTTGTACGAGTGATGCCATCCACAATAAAAGTAATGATTTATACTTTAAACCAGTAATAACTGAATACATACTTTTTCTTTAAATGTCACTCTTACCAGTTTAATGGGTAACTAAAGTATATGGTATCAGTATGCTGTGATCTATATGTCAGCCCAGGAGGGAGATCTATACAAAGGACACATTTTTAAGACAATGCATGTGGTGAACAAATATATTGTTATAATCTAATATAGCATATAGTAATTGCTAAGATATATGTTTATTGGTATGCAGAGGAGATAGTGTATTGTGTAATAATTTGACATAAAAGATAATTGGTGAAATGTCTGTACTAGGTCTTTTAAACAACCGTAGTAAGATTTTCTTTTCTTTTTTGCCCCACAAAGTCTATTTAAAAATACAACAATATTGATATTCCTTGATGCTGTGACTATTTACGTATGACACACACACACATACACACCAACCCTAGTTCTGGCTTCTCATTACCTGGGTTTCCTATAGATTCCTGTACTTCCACTCCCGTAATCCAATGTTGAGGATTCCTGGGTTCCTTCTGGCCTTCTCTCTCCTCATCTTCCCTAGTGAGGAAAAGTGATCCTTATATTTCCAGGTTATCAGGCATGAGACAACAAATACTAAGGGCCAAGGGAATAATTCGTCATTCTGCGTGATGATTGTACTGCAGGTTTTGTAGATACCTACTGAAGGACAGGTCTGTAGCTGAAGAGAAATCACAATGGGAAGAGACTGTCACTGTCACCGAAGAATTAGAGAACAGAGCAAAGGCAGAAATGGGATATGATTAAAAACAAAAACGAAAAACTCTACAAGATGGTGAGAAGGGTGACATCTAGATTCTGGAGATGTGGTTCTGTGAAACTGGTGGCTCTTAGACAGAAACATACCTACCCCTAGCAGCCTTGCTTTAGAAATTCATTCAGATTAAAATGTAGATAATGAAAATAGGTCAGTATTTGATTTGATACTTTTTAGGGATTACTCTTCTGTGTGCAGGGCACTACAAGGAATAGAGATCTGAATTGAGCATGGTTGTTGACATTTAGAAACTTTACAGTTGAGATGAGAAAAAAGAGCAATAATAGCCTGAAGAATTAAATAGTCATCCGAGAAATAAAAATATGAGATATCACAAGAAGGGGTGAATAATTCACTAGAAAATTAATGGAACAATTAGGGCTTCAAACACTTAGACTAAGCAAGATATCACTCCAGGCTAGTCTGGGAATGCATCACAGACTAGTAAGTATTGATACATAGAAAGAGGAGGGATATCCTAAAAGCTAGGATGAGATAAGCAAAAAAGTCATAAAGCCAGAAAAATAAGAGGGTTGTTCAGTGAACATGGTGGGAACCAGAGAATTTCAGGATCTGAGAGATTGGTGTATAGTTCGAAGAATGTAGGTTGAGATCAGATTGTGAAGTCTTGGTTGTCAGACTGAGGAACTTAACATTTTTCTGGTAGCCACTAACATTTCTGAGTTCTGCTACCAGATAGGATATAGCAGATGGCAGAGAGCCATTACTTCCACTGAAACAGTTTAAAAAAATACATAAATTTTTAAAAACCTTTTTTAAATAGAAGCAAAGAACTAAAATTACAGAGACAGGGGAGCCCTTCCTAGATGAGCTGAGATGGCCAACTGTGTACTTCTCTGGGAGCATTTGTCAAGTCTAGGCCAAGACTGAAGATTAGGGTAGCATCAGCAGCGAGACCCTCCTAGGGGAAGGAGCAACTGACATGTAGGCCAGTGTGACCAACTGGAATCTGTAAATACCCCTGATGTGTGACTGGTTTTCCTTGTGGGATGTCTGCTGAGTGATTAGGGGGCATGGTGGGCTAGAGGACTAGGCTAGAAAGAGCCCACAGAAATATCCCACAGTCTCACTTGGGAGCAGGTGCTTAGGGGAGAAAGTCCCACTAAAATGAAGGCTCAACCACAAACACATCACAGGTCTTGTCCTTGAGAAACTTGTAACTAGAGGAAGACTATGTCTAACTGAAGGTGCCGCTGAATGCCAGCCGCGCTCAGTTCCTGACTGGATCAAGGTGACCTGCCCCATATCCTACCTGCGTAACATAGGAAAGAGCAAGCTGTCTTCTGTTGAAAATAACATCGATTTTAGTTTCTATGGTTTTCTTATACATGACATCCAGCACAGAGTAAAACATTATGAGAACTATGAAGAATCAGGAAATATTTAAAAAGGTGATGGTCAAGAAATTTCCAAAATTGATGAAGGAATCAGGCTCCAGATTCAAGAAGCTCAACCAACCCCAGAATAAACACAAAGCCACGTCTGGCAACTGTCGTCAAACTTCTGAAAACCAAGTAAAGATAAATTCTTAAATTATAAATTCTAAAGATAAATTCAGTTAAAGAAAGCCCACGCGCAGCAAAGACCCAACGCAGCCAAAACTAAAATAAATAACTAAATTTATTGAAAAAAAAAAAAGATTGAGCCTGGACCTGGACAACAGAGGAACACCCCCTCCACACACACACCCCACCAGATCACCGAGCACTGAATAACAAGCAACAACAGTGTACCGTTGGAGAGAAGCAAGGTCACAGAGAGACATTCTGTGAGGTGCAGGTGCAAAGAGAATGCCTAAAGCTGAGGATGGCGCAGAAATTAAGAAAACCAGCCCCCCCTCCCCCTGCTCCAAAGCACAAGATAATGCCAAAGGAATTTAAAGCTGATGGTACGCTGAAGGTAAGCCTAGCAACAACAAAAGCCAAATCTAGCTCAGCTACTGATTGAGCTGACTTAACCCCCTTCACTAAAGCCCTGGCAAATGAAGATGTATATCCATTTCTGGACATAAATACTATTTATCCCAGTCTCTATTGTGCTACACACAATATCCAGCTTTCAAATACAAATTATAAATTGCACAAAAATAACATTTTATGGAAACACAGCAATGCCATTCATTTACATATTATCTATGGCTGCTTTCATGCTACAGTGTCAGAACTGAGTGGTTGCAGCACAGACCACATGGCCTACAAAGCCCTGAATATTTATTTAATGAAAATGAAAAAATATGATATTAAAATGTGTGGAATGTATCTAAAGCAATGCTTAGAGGGAAATTTATAGCATGAAATGTTTGTATTAGAAAAGAAGACAGTCTTAAATTAACAGCTTAAGGGTCCATCTTATGAAACTAGAAAAATGAGCAAATTAAGCCCAAAGCAAAGTAGATGGAAAGAAATAATGAAGAGCAGCAATCAATGAATCTGTAAACAGAAAAACAATGAGAAAATCGATGAAACCAAAAGCTGAATCTGTTAAAAGATAGTAAAGTTGAATAACCCTAACCACACTGACCAAGGAAAAAAAAAAAAAAGACGCTAACTACATATATCAAGAATGAAAATAAGGATCTCACTATAGACTCTGTAGAACCTTATTTTACATTATTGTTTCTTCTATTTCCTTATTCTTTTCTTTGATGATTTCATCAGGTTGCTATTCATTCCATGTTTGCCTCAAGAAGGCAAAAATTAAAATTTAGGAAGTAAAATTGACAGGATTGGAAAATGACTTGAAACAGGGAGAAGGGAGTGAGGGAGAGAAGATTAGCTGGGTGAAACCTTTACCTGAGATACCAAATTCAAAATAGTGTTTTCTTGTTGATGTGTTATTTGTGGGGAATACGAGTCTGAGCAAGATGGTGAATTCAGTTGGGGCATACTAAACTTCAGTTTACCTCTTGTACATCTGTATAGAGGTGTCTAGTAGGAAGATAGATATGTTGGTTTGGATTTGAAGGGAGGTCTGGAGTGGAGATTCAAGTTTGGGAGTCATCAGCTTATAGGTAGGGGTAAAACTGTAAGGCTCGTTTGATGATCTGTAGATTGAGAAAGAAAGGATAGAGCCCTCTGACTTTATAAAAATTGGCCCCAATTCCTTAGTGCCGTAAGACAACACAGGGAACAGAGTCCCAACTACTAAAAGAACTCACATATGCAGCTGAGGACCTTTGTCCTCAAAGAAGAACCTAGAACAGCTCGCTATATAAGGATGGAGATGGAGCTCCGCATAGAAATGTTCATGGTGAGCAAACACATGCAAGCACCTCATGGACTTAAAACTGTTCAGGAGAAAGCAAGCTTCCTGTCTAGATAAAATCTAGAAAGTAAAAGAATGAGCTGAGGCAACTGGATTGCCCTTATCTAACAAGGGTAATACTGTAGCTGCCAAATGAGCAGACTGCATTGTTAGATGTGGATGGCATTATATTTTCTTTCCATAAGTGTCATAAGATACTAAGAATAGATGATGTTAATAAAGACTGATGTTTTAAGGCATTGCTATAGAATGTTATTAATAAATATTCTAGAGCAAATAATAAATTTTCTAGGCATATGAGCATAGGAATATTTATGAGAGGCAAATCAATTTCTGCAGTTATCTGAAATTGATATTCTTGCTGACACATGCTGTCAAACCTTGTCTCTCAGTGTCCAAATTCTTGCTTCCTTTTTGAAAACCAAAGTTGTTTGTTAAGGGAGAAATATTCTCTTTTTCTCTCATGAAATTAACATCGTTTTCTTGTAGACATTTTGGCAACAAAGGCTCTCCCTGTATATTTATAAGGAACCATACGTCTTCAATAACATCCTATGGTTTCCTTTTAGTTACTGAAAAATAGTGCTATAATTTTATACTTTAGATGGCAAACAACAGAGATGCCTTCTTGGTGCCTCAAGAAAAAGTGAGTTTATGGTAAAGCTCTATGTGAACTGGAAACGGAAAGCTATCAGGTACAGAGGAAGCTTGAGGGAAGAGCTGCTCCCTTCATCTCTGCCATGAGCTACATGGCTTCTCTCACAGCATCTTCACTTCCCTTTACACGTCTTCTCTGACTGCCATTCTACTAACTGGCCTCCTCTGACCATGTATCATCTCTGTTTCCTTACAAGTCTATTGTGAAGTCTTCAACTTACCATAGCTCTCCACTTCTGCTTCATGGCATCCTTTTACATTCTTCTCCCACTTTTATCTGGCTCCGTATTTTCAAATTTAGGTTCACAAGAACGAGAATGTGCTTGACCCAGGTCATCTTTTCTTGCCAAGTTGTTTCTTGCCAGGTCTCTACTACCCTACAGATCGCCTGCTCTTAGGTCAGGTGTCCACTCTCATTCACACATTTGTAGCTTGAGGGTGGTGGGAGTAATCATTTGGTTGAAGACCTGGCAATCTTGGCAGAAATGCCTATGGCTGAGGAATTTGTCTCCTCAAAGGAGGTATCCACATAACAAGCATTTGAGTTTTGGCCTTTCCAATAAACAGTGCATGGACTTTAGCCTAGACGCCAGTTCTTTATCTTGCATATCTTCTGTCTTTTATAAATTAATTTTTGGTATTTAGAAATACATATTTTGGGGTGAAGTCAATTCTGTAGTAGTTCTCAGCTTTCCACCTTTCTTATCTAGAAATGGAAAACCTAAATAACCCTCAGTTGAAATATAAGCACTTCAGTTTTCCATCCATGGTCTAGGTAAGCTGCAAGAAGCAGAATTAAGGTACTTAACACTAAATCCCAGACTCAGCTCTGATATTCATTTCTAAATTCCACGTACAATTTCTAACACTTTAGAAAGCACTCAGTTTTTGCCCCTCACCTCTAGATGACCCTTTATCGTTCAGGAATGCCTTGAAGCCCGTTTTCTCCAGAGGAAAAGTTGAAGCCAGTGATCTTTCTGGGACAGTACCAGATACCCTGTAGCCTGTGTCTTTGCTCAGGGAGTCCTGTAGGCTTCCTAGGGTACAATGGAGTTGAAATTTTCTCTTCTTTGAGGAGTCCCTTCGAAGCAAGGAGTAATACCTACATCATTTTTGCCCACACATCAGGGCCCTTGATTTTATGGTAATCCCTAGATTTCATGTTTTACTTTAGCATTTTGTAAGTTAGAGCAAAAATCCCAACCAGTTCCTGGGAACACAACCATAATCTCCTAAACTCTGTCTTCACCCAAAACACAACCTTCTTGGCTTTCAAAAACTATCAACAATCAGGCTCAGATGTTCCATTCCCTGATGTAATCACAAGAATCTTAAAGTGGGAAGTTACACGTATTAAATTGGAGTATAGGGAAAGGAAAGTGGAAGTGAAGAAAAAAGCGTAAATCTGAGGGGAATCAGTGAAACTTCATACTTGATTGGTGTTCAGATTTCTAAAAGAAATGAAAGGATGGCAACGAGAAAAGTCAGTCATGATTTTTAGAAGGTGGTTGTTTTCTTCAGTATTTATACATGCTATTTTTTTTTGTTTTTTAATTTTCAAGATGATTATAGAGCTTGGGACATTCAGAAAAGTGAACTTTATAAACAAGAACAAAATTACTATCCCCCTACTGTGAAATTTGGAAACAACATTTCAGGATGACTGTGTACCTTGTGAGATAAAGCCTAGGCAAAGCTTTAAACCCAGCCCTGCAGTCAAACGTTCTACAGTCCCCTTTAATGGTGATACAAGTCATCACCTTGATTACGTACCTCATCAGCTAGAATTCAAGTTTGCGAGGCCAAAAGAAGTTTACAAGCCAACCAACCAACCAACCTTTTGAGGATCTCACAACTCACTGATATGACTTCCAGGGGCTTGTTGGTGAAAATGCAAACATCTGCAGACCTCTATACACCAGAGTGTCCCAAAATGCTCAGTTTGAAAGAAGCACTGAATTCCGTGACAGTTTTCAACCATGGGAAATCCCACCACCCGAAGTCAAGAAAGTAAAAGAGTATGTCCCTCCCGCAGGTATCGTGCAATTACACAGCACAAGCCACATCGATTATGTTCCATATGAGGCCAGATGTGTTGTTCCTTCCCATCAGGCCAGCTTCTCGTAGAAAAAATAACAGTCTTCCTTCCCAAGGAAAAAGCACCACGAAGGAAGACTTTCCAGCACGGGAAAGTTGTTGTCAAAGATTTATTAATATTAAGCAGGAGCAGCAGATCCCCAACCTATCTGGAAAATTTGATGGTTTGAGCACTTTCAGATCTCACTATGTGCCACATGAATTGATTCCAACAGAGAGTTGCAAACCTGTAAATGTTCCCTTTAAGAGTTCTATTCCATTTGATGACGTAACCGTGTACTCTCCCAAGTGTGCACCAAAGAAACAGGAAATCTGCCCTGCCTAGTTATCCTTCTCCTCCAGGTTATATCTTTGAACATACAAATTCCCGAGGTCATAAATTCTTCCACACGATCGCTCCCACGGCTGAAGGCCTTCTAATCATCAAATCATGTTTAAAAGGAAGCTAACTAACAGAACGTTGGTTTCCCAAGGGCAAAACCAATTTTCTATGGTAGAAGAAAAAGTTTATGAGAGCTGAAAAAAATCATGTTTTAAATTTTTAAACGAGATTTAGAAAATTTGTTACAGGAAATCAGGATTTTTTTTAAAAATTTTTATTTATTTATTTATTTTTGGCCATGTTGGGTCCTCGTTTCTGTGCACGGGCTTCCTCTAGTTGCGGCAAGCGGAGGCCACTCTTCATCGCGGTATGCGGGCCCCTCACTGTCGCGGCCTCTCCTGTTGAGAAACACCGGCTCCAGACGCGCCGGCTCAGTAGTTGTGGCTCACGGGCCCAGTTGCTCCGCGGCATGTGGGATCTTCCCAGACCAGGGCGCGAACCCTTGTCCCCTACATTGGCAGGCAGACTCTCAACCACTGCGCCCCCAGGGAAGCCCCAGGAAATCAGGATTTTAAAACCCATTTTGTATTAATACTTTAACCAAGTTTGTTCTTTAATATGCATTCTGAGAGTTGCATAATGTACATTCCCATCCGAACTATTTTAATCCAAACATACTTTCTGGTAGCTTGCCTCAATCTACTATCATTTGTACGTGTGTTTATAATTATGGAAATTATAGGGTTATTCATATATGAGTTATTTATAAGTGCCTTAGGACTAATAGAACACCATTGAAAATGATACATGGATTATTTTCATTGAAAATGATGCATGGATTCTTTTTTCAATACAACAGTATTTTTTTCCTTAGATTTCAAGGCATCTGCATAGTGCACCCTGAGTCAAGTTTTGGTTGGCAGTGTCAAGATGGCTACACTGCTCCTCGCTGTGTTCAAATTAGAAAGAGGCATTGTGGTGTGACAAGTAAAGGCTCTGTGGGTTGGGAGTCAAAGCACCTGAGTTCAAGTTCCAATGAAACCAGTTTCTACTTGTGCCATCCTAGGCAAGTGACTCTTGTCTTTGAGCCTCAGTGTCTTCATTTGTCAAAGAATATCTGCTCTTCCTACCTCTCAAAAGTTTTGCTCTGAACATCAGGTCATGTGATACAATATAACGCATAAAGTAAAAGTGCTAACCAAAGGTCAGGGATTGTTACTAAGTTGCTCAATCTCTTTCTGTACCTGTTTCTCTGTTTTCAAATTAGGAGAATTACCTACTCAACACTCACTTTCTGTCCTGTAGCAAGGATTGTAAAATAACGTAATCTGCTTCGAGCTTACAAGTAGTATGATTTCTGAGATGAGACTTGCCCTCTAAAGCTTCACAAGCACCCTAGAAGTTCTTATAGAGAATGGAGAGCTTGGATGGGGCGAATAATGTGGTTCGAATGACAGTACTTCCAAAAAGGAAAAAGCATTTGTGAGAGTAGTTTAAGGAATGACTGACAGCTCTGAAGAAAATTTTCACGGTAACCTCAGGTAATTATGCACCTAATTGCTGCTCCCAGAATCAAGGTGCAGAAGAAGAATCAGGCTTGGTATGGGCACAATTATGTCCTCCTCCTCCTCCAGTGTGAAGACAAATGCCAAGAAGGGAAGGAGGGAAGGAATGGTGCCATTAAGTGAAGTAGAAAGAACAGACTGCAATTATAAATGCTGAGAACTTTCCTAATGAATTAAAATCTTAGTGGGTGTTTTTTCTTTGATCAATGATGCATTATGGGATAATATGATTTATGTTATCTTTTCAGTCTTTGGTAGCTTTAGAACTGTTTCAAAATATATACTTAACTGAGAACAAGTCCGTCATCATTTGGTTAAAATACTTTTCATTATGTGGAAGTAGTTTGTTTTTATTTACTTTCATATTAATTAGAGAAAATTATGTTGAATTGATATATTAGTCATAGTAATAGAGCATCATTAAATGAATTTTCATGAAATCATTTCTGCAACAAATCTTCTCTGGAAAAGAGATCTTGTTAATAAAGTATTTTCCAGGATAAGCTCTACGTAATTCTCACACACACACAGAGTCACACAGCATTTTAACAGCACTGGAAACTAGTAATATTATTATTTAACTATCTGCCAGATTTAGAGTGAGTTTCCACTAAGCCAAACGTGGATAAATCGGATGAAGGAAGCAGGGCATTTGGAGACAAAATTTCCACGCCCACCCCATCCCATCTCCACCCTGTCTCCCTGCATGTCCTTGTTGTGGAGAATGAGACCACAGAATGAGACAGAAAGGCTCTGTAGTTTATAAACCCTGCAGGGACGACAACGCTAAGAGTGCACCCTAATGTAAACCATGGACTTTGGGTGATTACGCTGTGTCAGTGTCAAGTCGCCCATTGTGACACAGGTACCCTCTGGTGCGGGCAATTAATAGTGGCAGGCTGTGCATCTGTGGGGGCAGGAGGTACAGGGTTACTCTCTGACTCTCCATTCAATTTTGTTCTGAACCTAAAACTGCTCTAAAAATCAAAGAATATTAAAAACAAAGACTGCATGGCAGGAAGAAAGGAGGGGAGTGTTCAGCAGTCAGAGGTTGGGAAGCCCGTACCCCAGCCCCTGAATACATCAGATTTACAGACTTCCTTTCATACAAAACTATCTAAGGCCCTCTCTGAGAATTGCTGTGTGAGAGGAGTCTGGTAATATGAAGCGAGGAGGAGACCTCTGAACATTCATCAGAGAAGGGGAAGGTGAACCTTGTCATCATAAGTTAGTAAACTTCAAAAAGGCTGTTTAAAAAGAGTGCTGATAATGTACCTTTCAAAGGGTCACAGTGTCCAATAAAACATGAAGAAACGTCCATTTTGTTAAGGCTTTAGCTTTTCTTCTCTCTCCACTCAGTGGTGTTTTACATGGATGGGCAGATTTTCACCCTGTGTCACAGACCTAGGACTTTCACCAATGTCGCCCCTCCCCATCCTCCCCTTCAACAGGGCACACAGTTTGATAGCTGCCAGGGCTATCTCTCCATCATCTCCAATGTCCCCATCAATACTACTTTATTTGTAGCCATTATGGAACTATAATGACAAATGACACAGATTTGGAGCAACTGGAACACTCATATATCGTTAGTGGGAAGAGCCACTTTGGAAAACAGTTTTCTAGTTTCTTATAAACATGCACGTACCATATGAGCCAGCAAATCCACTCCTCGGTATTTATCAAAGAAGAATGAAAACTTAGTTTTACACAAAAGCCTGTACGTGAATGTTTATAGAATTGTATTCATAATCACCCCACGCTGGAAACAACCCCGAGGTCTTTTAACTGTTAGAATGATACACATCTATAGTATACCCATACGAAGCCAATTCAAGGAACAAACTATTGATTCACCCAATATCACGCATGAATCTTAAATGTCTTTTGGTCAGTGAAAGAAGCCTCAAAGGCCACATAATGTATGATCCCACTTGCATGAAACTCTGGAAAAGGTAAAATTATAGGACAGAAAATAAATAATTGCCAGGGGGTGGGGGTGGAGAAATTATTGACTACCAAGAATCAAGATAAGGGAATTTGGGAGGTGATGGAACCGTTATGTAAGAAACTGCGCTGGTCGACAAACAACTCTGAATTTGTCAAAACTCTTGGAACTGTAAAGCACAGAGGCAATTTGACTGCATGTAAAATTATAAAAACCATCACCCAGGAGGTGGGGAGAAAGCAAGGAGGAATGCAGACTGTGACAAATGAGGATGACTGTACTACAAATGAATCACATAACCACACTGCAGGGGGTGGGAAGGAAGGGGATGACCTAAGTCACTCTGGAAGAGGGTTCTCACTGGACACCATAAGGCAGTAGACAAAAAGAATACTATACAAATACTGTACTCTACTTGGTAATTTCTTTTTTTCCTTTCACAGGGGTATGCGTTAGCAGCTCTGAAACTACGTGTATAATAAGGCCAAACCAAGAAAATATATTGCAGATAATGAAAGCCAGGCTTCTCCCCGTCAGAGAAAGAAGTTTACAAACAAGAAAAAGGTATAGACTATAATAATGACCCTATGTGCTGGACTGGCATTCAAGGTTTCAGTATGAATGCATAGATACAGGAAAAAAAGTGTGTGTGTGTGTGTGTGTGTGTGTGTGTGTGCGTGCGCGCGCGCGCACATTCAAGGATTAGTGTATATGCAATCAACTTTTTAACCCTCCCAATGGCCAAAGCTAGTATGCTTTCCCTTTCTTTTTTTTTTAACATCTTTATTGGGGCATAATTGCTCCACAATGGTGTGTTAGTTTCTGCCTTACAACAAAGCAAATCAGTTATACATATACATATGTTCCCACATCTCTTCCCTCTTGCGTCTCCCTCCCTCCCACCCTCCCTATCCCACCCCTCCAGGCGGTCACAAAGCACCGAACTGATATCCCTGTGCTATGCAGCTGCTTCCCACTAGCTATCTACCTTACGTTTGGTAGTGTATATATGTCCATGCCTCTCTCTCGCTTTGTCACAGCTCACCCTTCCCCCTCCCCATATCCTCAAGTCTGTTCTCCAGTAGGTCTGTGT